ATAATTTATACATACTTTGTGAAAATGCTAGATTTACTTATAAGTAAATGACAAAATATCTTACAATGAAAATGTTGTTATTTCTGTATAATTAGATAATTTATCTTATGATTTATGACAAAAAAATGTTGTTATTTTTTGTATATTTGACTAAAATTTTATTACCAATTAAAAATAAAAAAATGTTGTTAAATTTATACATTTGACTAAAATTTTATTACCAATTAAATATAATATCTTGATGGATGTAAATATATTTAAACTTCATTTTATTTATTTAAAATAAAATTTTACAAATTTAAAATATATTTTATTTATTTAAAATATGATTTTACAATTTTTTTTAAATTAAAATATGAATTAAGTGAAAATAGCCGCAGCGTCTGTCAAACGAACAACATAAATTACATTCCTGCGGCTGCGTCTGGCGTCTGAGTTAACCACTTGCGTCTACGAAACGAACACCAATCAGCGGCTGCGGCTGAGTCTGCGTCTGCGGCTGCGTCTACGAAACGAACAACAACCAAATGAACAAACGCAGCCGCAGCCGCAGACTCAGCCGCAGCCGCAGCCGCAGAAACCTGCGGCAACCAAACGAACAGGGTAATAAAAGTATTATCTCTTCTCTCTACAAGAACAAAGAGAACAAGAGAGTGTGTGCTTGTGGATGATGAAACACAAGTGAAAAACAGAGAGAAACGTAAGAAGAAAAACAGAGAGTGAAGGTAAGACAAAACCACAGTATTGAGTGAACAAGAGAAGATGCACATGTGAAGAAGTTCAACAATAATCCAACCAACCAAAAACAGAACAAAGGATGATGTCCAGAAACTAAAACTCGTTTTCGTTTTTTGCTACAAATATCACGTCACAAGAAAAGATCACAAACACTAGGAAACAAAACCATTGTTATTGGATCCATAACAAGGTCAATGAATGAAATATGTCAACGCCAAAGCAACCATCATTAGAACATACGCTATCCCCTGATCAATGGATGTTCCTACCAAAAATCAAAAAGGTGTTCTTAAAGAAATCTTCATATTTAAAATGGAATATACACAGAACTATCGGAGATTTATTTATATATTAGATTGTACCGTCGCTGGTAGGTGCGGGAGCTGGCGAAGGTGACTGCGCATGACCAATCGGCAAAAGAATCATGGAGATGATGAAAAAGACGGCGAGAATCTCCAACGGAAATTTCAGGAACGCCATGCTTTCTCTTTATCTCCGGTGAGGAGAATCTTCTTTTTCTCACAATAAAGATAAGTAAAATGCAGATTGGAGAAAGAACAAGAGAAGCTATAAGATTCGTTTAAACAGTAAAGGACATGCCTCAAAGAACGTGGGGCCCAAACGGCTCGGGACCACGCCTATCTCACAGATCATGTCTGTCTCAAACTCTAATCACTCTCTGCGTTGTCTTTTTTCGGTTTAATTTTTATAAGGAAGTTTTAAATTAGAGATCAAACGAGGAAAACGGTTTGTTATGGTCTGTTCCTCCTTTTTTTTTTTGGTCAAAGTTATGGTCTGTTCCTAAAAGCTGTGTTTAAAATGAAAAAGAAATCTCTGTCATGTTTCTGAGTTTCTCTCAAATCATTCCTGGTGACTTGTAATAACCCGGTTTAAGAGCTAAACCGGAATAAACACTCATGTCTCAAATCATTTTCGTAGTCCAGATCATATCCTTGTACTTACAACCAGAAAGCGAATTCAGTGCCTAATTACATTAGATTAATCTCAAACCAGTCTAAAATTTACAAGAAAACCAAACCTTAAAGCTAGATAGCTGTTGACTTATACCATAACGAACACATGATCACCATGAGCTTTGCTATCAAAGTCATGGAGATGGAGGAGCAGCAAAGAATGGATCTTCTCTATTGTTATAGATCTCAAACAGTTGCTTCGAGTATCGTCTCGCTAAATCACTACAAATCTCCACGGCGTTAGAATTGTAACTACGCAACTCCTCAACCGATTTCTTCAAATCACCCTCGGGATCTCCATCTGTTAGAAACTGTCCTATGCGAGTGCCCCTAAATCATTATATCATTCAACAACATTAGTCAAAAGAATACTGTTATTAACTGTTAGTTTATAGTTGCGTTTCTTTGTTTTATATACCTGTCAGCGTCAGCCATGCTGAAACCACGACCGTTAGCGACAAGAGTCGACCTTGTAGCCTTCTCACCTTCCGTTTGAAACCTGTACAGAACGCAAACCGCTCTCATACAAAGCTCAGGGTCTTTGCCGAAATCTGCTAGCATCTCTCCCTCGAACTCCCATTTATGTTCACCAGGTTTCTTGTCTCTCCTCAGCATTGCCATGACGTCAGCTAAACCGGCTTCTCCATCAGATTCCTCCTCTTCCGGTACAATATCTTCAGATCCCTCCTCATTTGCAGGCTCATCAGGAACAATAAACCCACCCAAACTCTCGCCCTCTGACTCTTCTTCTGTCTCATCATCCTCAGCAGCATCACCGGTTATTGGGATTCCTACAACTCTCTCTGTTGGATGTTCTTCAGACATATCTTCAAGATCTCTCTGTTTTCTCAGTCTTGACGACGCTCGACGCTTCCTCCTAAACCCTCCAGAGACATTCTCTTCTGCCTTATGGTTCTGTGGTTTCAGGTTCTTGAGTGTTGCAATTGGTATATTATCATCTTCATCATTATCATCATTATCATTCTCTGAGTCGCTGGTAATAACACGTTTCCTCTTACGACTAGTGTTTGTGTTAACCTCACAAGCTCCCACATCTTCATCTTCATATTCCTCTTCTTCACCAACACTTGTCTTCTCCTCTAAAGGATCCTTACCATCATTTTCCTCATCTCTTTCACTATCAGATAAATCAACTACATTATCATCACCTTCAAACACCAACATCTTATTCACTCTTCTACGAGAAGAAACATCATCTTTGTTTCTCCCTGGCATATAGTCTTTAACCGGTGTAGTAACATAAGGTGGTGTACAACCTACATGAAACAAAACAAAAAAAGAAATCACAAACATAAACTAAACAGAATTAACGATATATTATAATTCAATATCTACTTTCACTAATCTCACCTGAAACCTGATGATTCCCTTCCCTACACAAAGACTCAATCTTTTTCTCTCCTAATGGGAACTTGACACCAGCTAACTCCAATCCTACCCTCACATCCTCATCTAACTCCAGTTCTCTAAACGCACCAACTTCATCTAGTTTTTGAACCGTCTCAGCGAGTTTCTCAAACTTAATCTTCCACTCCTCTGCTTTGTTCTCAGCCATCTGTTTCTCAACCTCCAACGCTTTGTTCACCATCATCTGCTCAACTAGACAATCTTCATCAGATTCTTTCAGATTATTCATCCTTGATCCTAAAATCAATGCCAACTTTCCTCAGGGTTTGGAGAGACCCTCTTTCTTCTAACTCAAGACAGATTCCTCTTCTTAAACCCTAGAATCTATATAAAGAAAAAAACTAGAAATCAACAAGTCTCCGTAATAATACAAACATAGACAAAGATCTTACATTACACGTACCTTATCGCCCTTGTTTAGATTTAGAAGAGAAAGCAAACACTTTCTGGTTTCTTTCTGTGGAAGTGAATAGTAACGGACACAAACCCTAATAAACTCAAGAGAATGCGACACGTGTTTAGATATGCCACGTGTGATGACGATTGTGATTCTTAGTGGGCTTTTAGTTATGAGCCTCATAAGAAGGACAAAGCTATAATTTGTTTTCGAGCCTAGTGTACGAACTACGTGCCGTTTTCTAGTAATATCATATCACGCAGTTCTCCTCTTTAAACTAAGAATTTAATCTATTCATTGCTACAACAATAATGTAATAACCAATATTTACTAGCTCATATTGTTATTCAAATACACATCAATTATCGTGTCCTGCTGTTGTCTGCTACATTAAGAATCCTCTAAATGGCCTCACCTATGGCATAAGGTGGTAAATCAATTTACTTTTGGCCCATTTTCTTGTCTGGTGTGGCGTTGGATTCTTGATGAATAATAGAATGGAAACCTCTGGAGCGTACAGAGTGTTTAAATGTAAACAAGACAAGAGGAGTTACTTTATAGGTCCACAATCTTTAGAGCAAGGAGCAGACATTCTTTTATGAGATTGTTCTCTTTGAATTCACTTTTCTCGCTCTTTGTCTCAAGTTAAAAATTTTAGTGCTTTTTTTACCCGTTGGTTAATTCCAGTAGAGCATTTGTGTAATGTGTGGTCAACTCTAATGATTTCATTACCTCCTCTGCACCAGTGGAGAAGTCAACGCACTTTATTTTATAGATTTATCAACATTTGGAATTCTACCGTGGGGCCGTTTTTTTTTCATGGAAACATTATTTTGGCTTGGTAAAAAAATGCAAATTAGAAAAAAAAATATGTTTTATTTTTGTTAAAGTCTTAAACGCACACTGTTATATTGGTTTGTTTAGTTCTGATAAGAGATTCGAATGATTTATAACCAAAAATCATAGATATGAGGAAAACCCTTAAAACATAAGTATTTTTAAAATAATAGAGATCTGTAGCTTACTGAAATTCCACCTATGAGAAAGAAAAAAATGGTCAGATAAACGAGGACTGATTGACAAAATCTATTCTCATTTTGTTTTGTCGAATACTTTTGAATCAAAAACCTAGCAATAGTATTGATAAAATCCTAAATATATAATTACAATTTTAAAACCAATGGACCGGGAAACGCTAGTTAACAACTGCTCAGTTAAAGATGATTTTCCAGAAAAAATTTGGCGATATTTAATTTTTCTAATTAGCTAACATATATCTGGCTAGTTAACAAATGCACGGGATTTACAAAATTATCAATTCAAGCACTCAAGTTTAAACTTCTGCTTAAATTTGATTATTCTGGTAGAGTTGAAAACAAGTTGAAAATATGCATGCACATCACTAAAAGGTGCACAATCATAACCACCCATTATGGTTTTAGTAGAAGATAGGGACATGGCATTCACTTGTGGGCTCTCCAAATCTAATTTGCAATCAAAAGTATCATGGGTCCCCACGTTTATGATTATGAGAAAAGCCATTTTTTCTCTCCAATTCTAGCCGTAATTATTATCTCACCCCAATTATTTAGTAAAAACACTTTTAGGCTTAATGATCAGTACTGATTTTTTTTTATAAAAAAAATATCATTTTTTGATGTATGAAAGAGCATCACTTCTTTCTCTTTATGGATTGTCTCAAGTCATTGCTGTATCAAAATTAAAAACGCCATGCATGTTTCATAACGATTTTGGTTGTTGAGAAATTAAATACTGGTAAAATTGATGTAAGATGACTGTAATTGCGTATCAACTGTAATGATGATTAGACTCCAAGCAAGATATCTTGTATGAAACATGAACGGCATTTTTATCACGATCTGTTATATAATACTATATGATTATTAATTAGTTCCAGGTTCGTTCGTTGCAACGTCTAACGGATCCGAAGATATTTTTTATTGAAGATATTAAAAGTAGATTGTTCTACTACTGTCAACTACTGTAAATCGGAAAAGAAACCAAAATTATATTCTAGGAAACCAATTCGTATTAGAAACATAATTATTACCTACTATATTTGTCTTTCATAGATGATGAAACTCATAATATGTAATCATAATATGACAAGATCGGGATGAGAAGAGAGAAGAGAGAAAGAGCAATAAAGCGTCGCTCATGTATTTCGTGGGAAGAGTAAATGATACTTCAGATCTTCGTAGTGATTAAAGTGTGATAGGACCCATCTCATTCACCTCTTCAGCTACTTCTACATTTTTGTTTCTACTAGAATCGATTTTTAATTTTAACCCACATAAACAAAAGAAATAAAATGTCATCCGTCAAAAGCCTTAATAAAATGTCATCCTTCAAAAGCCTTAGATTCTGCTCCTAGTACAAAACATTTGCCAGTTTATGGATGTATTCGCATTTTACCATTGATATGTAACAGAGAGATATAACTTTCACGTAGTTATATATACAACAATATAGCCGTGTCCTAGTGACTGCCAATTACTGAGACGAGAAACGTGTACGCATGTAATACGTAAGGTGCAGGCATAAATTATGGAAATTTAATTTTTGTCATGCAAATGTAATAAAAGCACATAGAAAGAGACAAATATGTGATAGTATCAGCTCTTTATTGAAGTTTGAATTTTAAATGGCGAAAAGAGATAACGGTTGAATTTTAATCCTCTTTTCTTCTTTTTTTTGAAATTTTTTAATCCTCTTTTCTTGAAATTTTGAAATTGAGTTTTGTGTAAATGTATTTTTTTCCCCTCTTAACAAGAGAGACATCATCTATTATTATAAAATGAGAACTGCCAAAAATGAAGAAAAACTATGGAAAGAGCAGATACAAACAACTTGAAACCTTTTTGAAGTAGTTATAATTATCGATATAATCATGAGATGTGATAAAGATAACAGTAGTTAGGGTATAATTAATCCCGGTCTCTTAGCCGGAGTTTTTAATTTATGATTTAATTTTTTTTTACTTTTTTTGGATAATGAACGAATTCTTATATCTCTTATTTAAAACACGATTCTTAATTTTTTTTTAGTTAGAATCTAAAAAAGACTAAGAACCGTCTCTTAGCCAAAGCTAAGAACTTTAATTAAGAGATTAAAGTTAATCATGGTCTTAGAAATTCATGATGTATTATTCTTATTGTTACTTCAAGGTATCTAAACTAATCTCCAACAAGATGCTTAATCCACATATGGATTATTTATCCGAATATTCAAATGAACTCTGAAAGTGAATATATATCTGCGTGACCACATAATGAAATGTAATAGAATGTCTTTAAACTCGTGTTGCTTAATAACCTAAAGCTGACTGCCAATAAACCACCATCATGTGGTTAGTGTCCTTTTGTTTAATTATATTTATAGTTCTTCGTTATTTGTATTGATTTTTTTTGGTCACTGACGTTATTTGTATTGATTAATCTCTTAAGAATGCTATTAGCGCAAGCCCTTCACGTATCTCAAATAACCATTTAATGCTCGATCGGAGCTAGGGTTTCAAACTGATTTTTGTTCAAAGTTGCAAAGTTAGGGTTTTGCTTGTTTCGCTATCAAAACCGATCGTAGGACGTAGATATAGCATTTAGCCATTTAAGGCATACTGTGTTTCGTTCCCCACAGCGCGCGATGATTAATTAGTGTTAAAATTCACAACTACCTGAGTCGCCCCATATACACAACTATCTGTTTAGTCCCAAAATAATGGTCTCGATGTTTTACGTACGTCACTAACTCAGTAAAAAAATCAGAGAATCTTACAGAAGACCATAAAGAATCCTCCTACCTTTCTAAAGTTCAAATTACTTAATATTATATTAACCACAAAACCATACAATTTAGAATTCACGATAGACTTAAGATCCAACTCTGCAATAAATAGATAATTTAAAACAACTTTGAGAGTATATATAAATGTGAAAACATGGATGCATGTATGATGACAAGTGTGCATGTGGGTTAATGAAGAAGTAGAATCTTGGGCACGAAGAAGGCGTGTCCGATCATTAAAACCGCCCACCATTTTTATTATATTTGGTTCCCAAGTACTGATCTCTGCTCATTTTGCACATATTTTGTTTCGTGAACTATAACGTCTCTTTGATCTCTTTCTCGATCTCAATTTGTTTGGATTAATTTACTTAAATATCAATTATTATTTTGCTAAGGGCAATAAGTTTCACCATTTATACATTCTTTCAGTTGCTAGTATTTTTCTTTGTTTGTTGTTGATTTTAGTAATTATCGACGCCAACCCATGACTTCTTAATTGAGAGCGCATGAAGAATATAATCAATGTTTAGTTATAGCATACCCTATGAAATAAATTTCTTTCAATCAATTTTTTTTGTCATTAGTGAATTTAAGAAATAAATAGAGAAAGACAAAACCGTACAAATATTAGGAGCATGTCACAGTCTCCTTAGTATATATCCGTATATATATGAAACTGAATAGCATCTTGGGTCCGTGTCATAACTAAAATTAATATCATGCATGCATAAGTAACCTTTAGTTACATTACTATGTTTGTTATTCAAAATTACTCATTACTAGTAAAGGAACCACTATATCTCTTCTTCCGATTTCGTTTTGGTTGCTTAAAGTCGAAAAAAAACAAATTCGAAATTGTAGTATATAGGCTCTATACCTTTAACCAATGAACTCATACTAACATTTAAAGATCAGTTCGAAATTTGATGCTGAAGATCATGTTAGTAAAAAAGTAAGAAGCAATTTTTGTTATTTTCAAGGCAGTTATCTCATGGGATATATATAAGCATTTCACTAAGAAAAACATATATTCTTTAATTAGTTGGTGCTGTTTTCAACTATTGAACTATTTTATCTAAAAAATATTGATCTCTATAAATTTCTGCTACAAATAAAACCTAATGAAAAGGAACATACCCGTTACTAAAAAGACATGGTCAGGTAAACAATATCTGACAGCCAACATATTAACTTCAAACCTAACGTCATCTACTTGGTCTTGTCTTGGCTTCATCTTCTTAAAGTTTTGTTTCTTTTTCTAAGAAAAATTATTATATTATTATCTTTAATATATAGTATATACGGAGTACATATATTCATGTACAAAATATTTCAAAATTTGGAAAGCGAAAGTTCAAATGAAGGGTGGCTCCCAGAGAATCAAATTGATTTTGAAGATACAAATCACCACAAATATGACAAAGTATTTATTGCCTTCGATCAAATTCTAATTCTATCATTTCAAAGTCGAACTTACAAAATAGGTGTATATGAACTGTGTTTTGCTTAATACTATATATTATTCTTAGAATCATATCTTATTTTGTGTTGCTTTTAAACACGTGTTTATGAAACATGATAGGGATCCATTTGAGTCACATTAACATTTATATAAACCGATAGATTGTCCAAATTTTGTAACAAAAGATAGTCAGTCAAACCAAACTAAGGATATGACAGGAAGCGTTTCGAGTAATCAGTGGACTGAAAAATGAAATAAAGAGAAATTTCATAGTTAAACGTGATTGGATGAACACCAGTGCCCGACTTTGACACCACGCCAACTAAACATTGACTTCCGGCCGTAAATTTTATAATAAATATTTCAAACACAAAAATTACAAATGTTCCTAAGGTCTGGTGGTATGTTAAATGAATTTACTCCTTCCAAAATATTTTGGTGTTGAGGCTCGAGAGTATTTTGTTATAATTTTGTTTTGTAAGAATATGCAAATCAGCCAATTGTTTTTTTTTTTTGCTTGCAGCCTTCGAAAATTCGTACAACTAGGATGACTTTTCCGAAAGTTTTTCGGTTGCACCTTTTAAAAAGTGTTCAAAATAAAAAGAAGAATAAAATAAAGTGTGTAAATTAAGGTTAGTTTTGACTTGCGAGTACGTTTGGAATCGGGTTATCAACTGTAGAAAGTGTCTAAATGTTAGTGTTGTTGAATAATTGATCCATAATGCGATGTAGTACTATCATTCAATTGATTGTCTCACTAGCGAGGGCGCTAAAATAAATGTGAAATCAGGAAATTTCAAATACCCTTTTCTTTCTTGTATACTAGCTAGTGATATGTTTACTCGAAAAAAGTGATTGGCCGGACCATTTGCAACCCATATATACTTACTTAAACTAAATACAAAAGACGTACATGAATGTGTTTGTGAAAACAATTATACCGAGCTTCTGACTATTCATTATTTTACCCAAAAATCCATTTCATAAGGAATTCATGTATCCTTTCCCTTCGCATATATGCAACCTTGATCTCTCTAATATAAAGTATATAACCAAACGTACCCATATTTACGTATAACATAAATGAGACACCGAAAAAACCTAGATTCTCTCCCAAATTTCATCCAACGGCACAAACCGCATAATAAATAACCCTATCAAAATATTTTAAATATTGAAATTTGAGAGCGATGGTTTAGTCCTCGATGAATGCGCGTCTCTCATATTTACTCCTTTTGGCATCCACTGTTTCTATCTCTATCTCTCTCCCAACTTGATAATATATGTCTCTTTGCCTCTCTTTCTTTCTCTAAATATTTTATTCAACCTTTTTTGTATCCGTAACCATAAGACAAAAACAAACGAACAGGGAAGAGAGAGAGAAATAATATAGAGTCACGATGCGGGAGGTGCAGGATTTTCTTGAAGAGTGTGAATTCGTCGACACTTCACTAGCCGGAGATGATCTATTTGATATCTTAGAGAGTCTTGAAGGCGCCAGAGAGATATCTCCCACCGCTGCATCTACACCTAAAGATGGAACTTCATCTCCTAAGAAGAAGAGGAAAAGACTAGAAACCGAGAAAGAAGAGGAGCAAGAAGAAGAAGACGGAGAAGAAGAAGGAGAAGAGAATAAGCAAGATGGGCAACAAAAGATATCTCACGTAACCGTGGAGCGTAACAGAAGAAAGCAAATGAACGAGCACTTAACCGTTTTACGTTCTCTTATGCCTTGTTTCTACGTCAAAAGGGTACAGATTCGTACATCCATATATTTTCTGAGTCATTACTTTGGTAGCCAAAATATTCATAATTATTAAACATTTGGTCATTAAATCCTTTTGGTATACTAACTATAGAAACATCAATTACAATTTACAACATAAGTATTATATCTGTGCTTTTTTAGGAACAATGACAATTGTAATGATATTTGGACCCACTAATCATCTCTTTTCTTTTATTTTCCCTCTTTATAGATATAATAATGTCTATATTGACTAATATTGTCTTTTCCTTTGATCATAATTAACAAAAAGGGGGACCAAGCATCGATTATAGGAGGAGTTGTGGAATACATAAGCGAGCTACAACAAGTTCTTCAATCTTTAGAAGCCAAGAAACAACGTAAGACCTACGCAGAAGTTCTTAGCCCGAGAGTAGTCCCTAGTCCACGTCCTTCACCTCCTGTCCTAAGCCCACGGAAACCGCCTCTTAGCCCACGCATCAGCCACCACCATCTCCTTCTCCCTCCTATAAGCCCTCGAACACCTCAGCCTACAAGCCCATACGTGGCCCATCCTCCGCAACTACCACTCATCCCACAGCCTCCTCTTCGTTCTTATAGCTCATTGGCCGGTGGTAGTAGCTTAGGGGACCCACCTCCATATTCTCCAGCTTCATCTTCTTCCTCTCCTTCAGTTAGTAGTAACCGTGAGAGTAGTGTGATAAATGAGCTCGTGGCTAACGCTAAGTCGGCTTTGGCTGACGTGGAAGTGAAGTTCTCAGGAGCTAATGTGCTGCTCAAAACAGTGTCGCATAAGATCCCTGGACAGGTTTTGAAGATAATCTCTGCTCTTGAGGATTTGGCTCTCGAGATTCTTCAGGTTAATATTAACACCGTCGATGAAACCATGCTAAATTCTTTCACCATCAAGGTACATTCGAATAATCATCCTACTTAAGTTTCACTACTTTTATTATTTTTAATTTGTAATGCGTGTAATATATGGTTGGGGGAAAATGGTAGGGTACTGTAATAAGTAATAATTGATCCAGTCACATAAATTTATACACAGTTCATATACTATAAGAAAATCAGTGTAAGATACATAATTCTCATATATTGTGTATATACATAAATTCTCACGAACATAGGATATGTCAGATTGTCACAACTCACATGCTGATGTAGCTTACTAGTTTTGCTTATTGGTCAAGACTTGAAGCATGTCTGAGGAGAGATATAGAGGGAAAAATGTAAAGTTCAAGTAAAAGACTTTAGAACTCTCTATGAAATTTGTGTAACACATGTTTGTATATAAATTAGAGTTAATTAGGTAAATAGATTATATTACATTACAGTATTAATATTATTTAGACTAAAATGTCAATCGGAATACTTTATTATTATCGATGCTCTTAGTTTTATATCCGATAGATGCATAAATTTTGCCCAATAATGAATTGACACAATGGTTGTAGAAAAAAGAATAGTCTATATCAATTTTAGATGAATGCTATGGTATGATTAACAATATATATCTCTCTCACTATTTTTCTTTTGATAGATTGGAATTGACTGCCAACTAAGCGCCGAAGAATTGGCTCAGCAAATTCAGCAAACTTTCTGCTAGTAAAAGAATGATTAAATACATCAACATAAACCCTAACAAGAGATCAGTACGTACTCACTTCCTCTCCTTATTATATATCCTTTTAATTATCTTCAAACCTTTCTACAGTTGTATGCATTGAATAAATTGGTATTTAAGATTGAAAACAAATATTGATTAAGTGTGACTAATATAAGTGAGATTATAAAGTTATTAGCTTCAAATATAACAGCTTCATCAGATGCATATGAATGAACGACAGTGTATGAGGTTCTAGTGAATTTTCATTTATCTTTTTATTTTCTACTAATACTGGATATTCTTATTAGACGAACCAAAATAATATGAACTGGAACTCAACAGCATAAATACATACTTATTCCATTGTTTTGATCATATTAAAGTTATTTTTAATTTCTTGATAATGATGTATGATATACGGTTCATGTATTATTATCTTGTCTCCAAGTTACATGATGTAACTGGATATACATAAATGCCGGGTTTTCACATGGTTGTTGGTAACAAACGTATTCAATACTGTATATTTTATAAGAAGATACCCACTGTATTTATTTCAAATCACTGTATTTATTTCAAATCACTGTATTTATATCAAAATGTAGCAATCCAAAGTTACCGGCAAAGAATAAAACAAAGGCACATTAAAAAATTTAGAGTCGTGTCTACAGCCAGTACAAGTTCAAACACGAACGTTTAGTAAAGGAAAAAAAAATGTAAAAATTATTTCAGTACTTAGAACTGAATTTGCAGAAAGATTTCCCTAACCATACAAGCGGGTTGGTTTACCATCTACCCGCGGCCGGTACTGAATGAAGATGTAGACGTACGTGAAAATGTCAATTAATTGTATCAAACCTATTAGACACAAACCCAAAGAAAAGTTAATTAAACCAACCAATGTGATGTACTGAGTATGTATTAGGGGCTGATTAAAATATATTAGTATAAATCGGATCGATATTTAAACAAATGGTGTATTTTGAGGGTTGCCACAAAGCAGCTAATTTCGTTACTCATTCTATAAATATTATTATATGCAAATTCAGCTCTTGGTGACAACTTAAGTTTCATTTCTTTAGTTTTCTTGCATCAGTAAATTATCGCTTGTAATCACCAGCAGAACAAAAGAATCGACCAGATCCTACCTGTATCCTACTAGTTTAGGTAAGAATAACTGAAACTATCCATATAAGCTCATCATTAATGTAGGTTTTTTAGAGTAGAATTCTTAGCGGAATATAAGAAATTTTTTTTAGTTTTTAACTTGAAAAAACTAAAAAATACTCTTGAATAGATGTAAGAGTATCCGCATTGAAGGTTCGTGGGAGGGGGGGGGGAAGATTCACACGCGGATC